ACAATTTCGCAGTCTATTTTTTTAACATCAATATTTTATATCTCAACTTTTACTCAATCAGTTTAGGATAATTCTGCATCATAACGTCGTCAGTCCTAAGACTGGTTGAACACGTACCTCCACTCTTTCCTATCCTGAGCTAAACTTCGCATTTCCCTAAAACTAGAACAACCCACATCCTTAACTATTTGGGAACAGTAATCTAGTCTAGGTCTACCTCTACCCCTCCTAACTCCGCTTTCTGCCTCTAATATGTCTCTGAATAGACCTTCATGACTGAGAAGGTGTCCTACCAACCTATCTCGCCTATTTCTTATTATCTTCCATAGAGTCCTCTGTTCTCCTATTCTTTCTAATACCTCTTCATTTCTAACCTTCTCTGTCCACGGTATCCTCATCATTCGCCTATAACACCACATTTTGAACGCTTCTAACCTTTTCTTATCCGCCGCGTCCACTGTCCATGTTTCGCACCCATACAGCGCCACGCTCCAAAGCTACACCTTTAAGAACCTTTTTCACATTTCTAAGTTAATCGAGCATAAAAGTGACTTCTTTTTATTGAAGGCAACTCGACCCTGAGCTATCCTTTGCTTTATATCCCTACCACTCCTTCCGTTCTGACTTATCTGACTTCCTAAATACCTATAATCAGCCACTTCATCTAATTTTTCATCTCCTATTCTACATATAAATAAATTATTTCTGTTGCAGTTTCGCTTGTATATATTATTTTTCTAATATCAATTTATATCTCAGCTTCTACTCAACGGATTTAGTTATTTAAGTGTAGAGCACATCTTAAAATATATATATCTTCTTTTATAGGCCCTATAGACTAAGAGGAAATAATTTTTTTACAGGTAGTTAAGTTTATTTCTTTGAGGATTCAAAAACCATATTAAAACCAACTAATCATAAAACCTCATGCACAAGCAGTTACAGTGTTTGTTTGCTGATATCTTTTCTTCTTAATTTTTAACAACAATATTTCCTGTTGTTTATATTTTTTTTCAAGCTTCAACTAACTTTTATTTCGAATTTCAACAAAAAGTTAACAATGGGAACTAGAATCGCTAAACTGTGAAATGCAACTGCATATTTAATGCTTATTTAAAATTTAATAGTGTTTTCTAGACATATGCAGGTAATGCAAAACTTTTTTCACCGAACATGGAGATTAAACGTTTGTTTGTCGGTATTTTTCCTTCATATGCATAATTTTTTCAAAGTCTATCTGAAAATATCATCCATTTTCTTGAAGACAGTCTTACATTAATCGAACTCTTAAAATCCTTTGAACAAAACGTAATATCCTTCAAAAGTTTTCAATTACTTAGTTATATTATCTTATTATTTATATAAAAAGATAACTAAAAGCCCTGTGACTATTATTGTGTATGGAATATAGTTCCTATAATATGTACCATGTCATTGATAAACCATATCCATTTGTAGTCGTATAAGTAGGTAAATCATTTTAAAAACCCTACGCAATGTCTCCGTCTATTTTCGAAGTCCAGTGTCAATGTCCACAGAGGCTTTTTGTACGTTTTAAAAATGCGTACGTTTACAAAAACATCTTGTTCACATTAATTCTATTAGGCCACAAAACAAAAGGGAACACAGCAGACAACACAACGTCAAGTATCAACGAGAACTACTAATTAAAAAATCGCTCTGTAAAGTTTTACAAGTTTATTGTCGTTACGTTCTAAACGGTTTTAATAGAAATATTCATCTATTTTAAATGTTAATTAAGGTTAATACATTACATACATAAATGAAAAGTACTAATAATAATTCTTATATGTATTTTTGAAACAAGACTAGAATTCTTGTCTTGTCTCTACGTCTTTTTTTTTTATTTAGGTCAAAAGTTTCGCTACTACGTATATTTTTGCTTTATTTTCTCATAAGCGTGTCCAAATCGCCTAATAAATTTTATGTTTATCGCGTTTGTGTGGGACCGTTTTATTCTCAAAACATCCGGTAGTAAAACTTTGAATTGTATTGGAACCTAAGCACCAAAAAAATAAACGCCCTGTATATAAAATACCCGCAACTGTAAGGTACATTTCTGTATTAACTACGCCAGATTTTAATAATAAATATTGTTGAAACATTAATACTAAAAAACAAAACGCCTAAATAATCCTTTTCCTTTTTTTGCAGACTTACAGGACAAGAAAAGGTTGAGGACGTCGAACTTCCCACTGTTCCAATTTATGTTAAACGAGGTTAATGCAGTGACGTAAGCACGAAAACATCAAATTTTATTAAGGTAAAATTTATTTCACTATTGACTTATAAAATACTAACCAAAAAAATACTTATTAAAAGGCGATTTAATTCTATGAGTCATGAAGGACCTCTAAGAATTAGTGAGTTATATACACGTTAAATCCTATAAAGAAATCTGGATCATTAATTAAAGACTCATTCTGTGACCTTTTGACCCACCAATACTTTAATTATTATAAATATCTAACTTTTAAAATAGTTCAATAATTTTCACTTAAGAGAAGTAAACTTCTATCTCGAAAACAAAAACTTAACTAAACTTTTATTCATTTATTATTGGAGATTATCCATCAGTTAACATCTCTAGTTGATCAGTAATTATGAGACACCCTTTTAATTTACTCTGTCTTTACAACCCCCTTCAAAATGTCACATGTATTCCAGAAAACTTTTGCGTTTCTAAAATTTAAATTTACAGTTACTGTAATTGCAGAAACTAAAATTGTAGCAAAAGGCTTCTTTATTTTGGGAACTTCTTTAAACTTTTTGCCGTAAATGTATATTTGTTTTGCAATAAAAACTTGGCTAACTTTACATCTGCGTCACATTGTAATACAGTATATATAAATAGTCCATTCAAAATGCCTTTTAATTCCCGCATCTTTGGAACATTAAATTCCATCTAACAACATTATTATTATAATATGTCTATAATAATAATAATTCATTGTTTGATTCCAAGGTATATCGAAAAACAACTCGCTTGATACGTGTGAACGTATTTTATGATTACATTATTTTGCACAAGCCGAATCAGTGCTTAAATTAAACTATTAGCTGTGCCTATTGTACTTTACAAATCCAAATTCTTTTAATAAAAGCATCACGTTTTACTGTTTCTATTATTGACGACGATCGAGGCACATGCTTCTTGTAAACAAACCGAAAGAGAACCTCAACAGCAACAACAATTGCATCACAAATCGCATAAAACAATTAACAAGAAATTATTATCGATAAAAGAGACAACAATCAAACGATTAATGTACCTGTTTACAAGAAGACGACCGTCTTTTGGTCGTCGTCGTCGTCGCGACGGCCGGCGTCCCAAATCAGAGCGTCCTCGCTGTCAGCCACAATCGCACTACTAACCGAACAAGGGCATCCAAGGTCGTCGTTTCTCACAATCGTAGCATCCCGCGACGGACGCCGCGCCGCCAAAAGCGCTACCTACGCCACTCGGCGTAAACTAAATTCAAATACACTAACAGTGCATTCCCGTGTGCAAACCAACTTACGTGACCGCATACAGAGAACAAATAACAACATTGCAAAAGAATAATTTATTGTGTTATTTATGTATTTTTATTTAGGTAGAACACGTTTTTGAGATCATAATAGCGTTTTTTGTTTTGCGATATCTCAAGCGGTTCCGAAAATATAAGCCGGAATAACTAGATATTACACGCGCGGCTTAATATCGCGCGGTACAATATCGCACGGTGGAATATCGCGCGGTACAATCTCTAATGGCGCGTGATGCAAGCGACTCCACGAGCGAGCGGTTTTGTATCAGTCGACGCCCCGTATACGAGCTGCTCTCACTGAGCTTCAAACACTGTTTTATGTTTGAAATAGATGTACAACAATTGTTGAGAAATTAGCATAGAACATTTAGGAAATATTTAAATACTTTTCTGTTTATTATTATTTTTGAAACAATGCAGATACCAAAGTTGTTAACAATAGACAAAGTACATTTTCAGAATAATATTTAGAGTTGAATTAAGCGACCGTAATATTATACTAGTCTAGTACCTGAGTTACTACCCTTGTTATACCTTTAACTGATTCTAGTTTTACATGGTAGAAATTCATTACACTTATGCATTAACTCACTTATCAGTTTACACACTCATCAGGAAAAGTCACAAGGTGGTGAAAGATAAGACAGGAATTTATAAGTAAATCTGACTTTTATTACGTTAAGTTTAAAATAGTACGAGACCCGAATTTTCCTCAGTTTTCTCGAAGCGCCACCTAACACATTTTTGTCAAAACTCGGGAAAACAACACGTAAAGAATTCACATTTTCTACGAGCAGCCTTTAAAACGCATCAATAGATGGCANTACTGTTTCCAACACCTCCTGTTTTGAATCTCAAATTAATCGATATCGAACACAAAACTAAGTTATTATTATGAGTGACTTTTTCCATATTGATAACTTTGTGATTATTTTAAAATTTCAAAAGCAAAAAAGGAGATTAAGTGCGAGACTGGAATGAAATTTGATTAGAAAGCATTTTGGTCTAAATGCCATACCCCATAGCGAACAATATTTGGTGTTTAAAAGATGTTGAACAACAACAAACACCATAAAGCGTGTTATTGAATGAATAATGGTGCAAATATATTATCATAAAGTTAATTAGTGTTACCAAATGTCCAAATGCCCAAAGCTTTACCAAAACAGACATCATGTTACTTACTTCTTTCCTCATTAGCCCGACCATTGTTTTGTAAGATACGTTTACTAGCTGTAAAGAGGAAAAAAGAAGTAAATAAATGTTTATTCTGATGTTTTGTTTAAAAAAAAAATTATGACAACATTTTGTAAAAAATCAATTAATTCGTAAAAATGTTGTGTTATTTGTGTATTAAATTCAATAATAAATAAATAATTCGTACTGGGCCCCCTTGAGACCCGTCTAATCGTTTGTTGTTGACTTTATAGAAAGTAACTAAAAATGGAATACTATTTATTTGTGATTGAACAATCGCAATAATAAATGAACGAAAAGATAAAATTTTCACCCAAAAAGCTTTGACATGTTTAACTTTTTAATCTATCATAAAATCAAATAAATACTGCCTTTTATTGAGACGCGAACAGGTTGATGCACAGATTAAATGCACTTTATAATTAATTAAAATTGCATTAAAAAGAAATTAAATGAAATATGTGAAAATATGAAAATGACATCGTAATAGTTTTTGTGAAAATGTATCTGCTTCAAAATATTTTATCATTCTCCTTAAATAAGGCTTTAAAACCACTCGTTTTAAAATGGAAACAGTCCAAAGTTGTCTATGTCAAAGTTAAAAGTAATTTTTTGAATAACCGATTGTATAAAAATCATATTTTATATATATAAGAGCAATAATGAATTCCTTTTTAAGAAGGCATAGAAGAACCAAACATATTTTTTTTTTTTAATTTCGACTTGCAACTCGAAATTGCGACTCGCAACTGGAAATTTCGACTTGCAATCCAAAATATCGAGTTTAAATTGGAAATTTGAACGTTGCTTATTGAGTTGCCCTTAAATGTTGTGACAATTATTGTCTACAATTAAATTTGATACATAGATTGGTATAGGGTTAGACTAGCTTTAGTTTATCCGTATAAACCAAAGAGAGTGCACAGTTACGACAACACGAATGAAGTGGTTAGGTTGGGATTAATTAAAGTTAGGTTAGGTCGCGATTCAATGAGGTTAGGTTAGGTTAGGTTGAAATTTCAAAATATAGAATTTGTTTGATCCTTCCATGTTTTCGTACCTTTCCTTTAACCGGAATTAAATCCATGATCTACAGTCGATTATTTGTTAAAAACTAAAATAACCTTGTTCCATTATTTCTCCATTAAAAAAAAAAATAAATAACAATAACATTAATAATACTAGAAAGTCATTTTTAGTATAGATAACAGAAGTCTTTCGTGTTGTTGTTTTTGTTTTCTCTAGGATGCCTATTATCCTTGTTCAGCCCTCTTTGTCTTCGCTGACGACATGAAGGAGTTGCGTGGTCCTTTTTCGTCCCATATTGCATATTTTGAAGTGACAAAGCGTGAGATCTGAAACACATGTAATTGTTTGTCAGAGATTTACAACCACGACCATTGAATTTAGTTAATTATTATTTCCGATGCAATATAATCACATACATAAATATATATGACTATCGTTTAATGAAGCTGTTTATCATACTAAAGGATTTCTTCAATCTTATCTTCAACAATAATCGAATTGGAATTGCCGCAATATTTCATAATGTCCCTAAATATTACTACGGAGTACAAGTACTTATCTACAGTCAAAACCAAAAGTATGGAATAAATTCTAAATTCCAAAAAAGGGGAACGTATTTTCAGAAAGACGCTCCTTGTGCAATAAATATAAATTCATTATTTGAGAGAAAAATCTAAGTAGAAAAACGTCCATTCAGTTTTAATCTTGTTGCTGTGAGAATATTTTCAAGTCTTTTTAGTCACACAAACAATTTTTTGGCAAAAGAATGCCAAAGGCAATACGCAGTCAACACGATCGAATTAACCAAATGTTCAAAATATGAACCAAGATCAATTCTGCTTTTGAATTCTTCCATTTGAAGTGCATATATACTAGAAGCAGAGACAAGAATATTAGGGATGGGGGATGATACTCCAATACTTTAAACTAGATGCGAATATTGACTCAAATTTTCTGTACTTTTATGAAACGGCTGATATAATATGAGATGTGATAATAAGAACAAAAACTGAAATTTCAAAAACAGATGAATTTTGTAGAAAGGTTAACAGCCTTATTTTGGATAAATTTCTTATCAATATCGGGCCAAAGTTTATCAACAAACCTAAAATTTGAATTTTCACTTCGCAGTATCGCCAAACACGTTTCACCGGGTGTTTTTGACGCATTTAATATAATTTATTATTCTACTTTGTTGGCATAAAAGTTTTCTAAACGATGATAATCGTATTTTTCTTTCTTTATTTACTATAATCTACGTTTATCTCTGCCCCTACCCCTATCTACTCCTGTTTCTGCTTCTAATACGTCTCTAACTATCCCATCGCGTCTTACAAGGTGTCCTACCAACCTATTTCTTAAATTAACTTGCACCTGTTATCCTACTGTTTCCAACACCTCCTGTTTTGAATCTCAAATTAATCGATATCGAACACAAAACTAAGTTATTATTATGAGTGACTTTTTCCATATTGATAACTTTGTGATTATTTTAAAATTTCAAAAGCAAAAAAGGAGATTAAGTGCGAGACTGGAATGAAATTTGATTAGAAAGCATTTTGGTCTAAATGCCATACCCCATAGCGAACAATATTTGGTGTTTAAAAGATGTTGAACAACAACAAACACCATAAAGCGTGTTATTGAATGAATAATGGTGCAAATATATTATCATAAAGTTAATTAGTGTTACCAAATGTCCAAATGCCCAAAGCTTTACCAAAACAGACATCATGTTACTTACTTCTTTCCTCATTAGCCCGACCATTGTTTTGTAAGATACGTTTACTAGCTGTAAAGAGGAAAAAAGAAGTAAATAAATGTTTATTCTGATGTTTTGTTTAAAAAAAAAATTATGACATTTTGTAAAAAATCAATTAATTCGTAAAAATGTTGTGTTATTTGTGTATTAAATTCAATAATAAATAAATAATTCGTACTGGGCCCCCTTGAGACCCGTCTAATCGTTTGTTGTTGACTTTATAGAACGAAGAATTGTTAATTTAACGCAATCGTACAGATATAACAATCAGATCTATACAATGTTGCCCTCGCCATATGTAATTAACTTATTTCCTTTATTATTTTTTTTATTAAGAGATATCGTTATCAACTATGAAAGACAAGAACTGTAACTAGGGAGACAGTTCGTCTTTCACGTTACAGTTATGGGTGGTTCACACTACACCGTTTCGGATCCGAGCCGTGTACGTATCGAATCCGTGTCACCGAGTTTTACGTTGATACTACGCCAAGCTAAAACACAGTAAAAAATAAGCATTCATGAGGAGCCGTCCTAAATTTTATGTTTTATGTCCGAAACAATGTCAAGGTATGACGTTGCGTGAATTATTACATATAAATAGAAAAAGGGTTGTACAATTTGTACCCTGCTCGGACCCTAAACAGTCGATGTAACGTGAATCCTCCTGTATCAGTCTTGTAAAGCGTCAATTGCTTTTATTTTTTATCACAAACCTTTTGCAATTTATTTTATCATTTATTACAAACATTTTTAATGATACTACTCCTATGTTATAACTTGTAATCATAATATTTACATATTAAAAAAGGCAAGTAGGTACTTTATCTACTTCACTTGAAACGGCGGTAATAGATAATCAAAAATGTAACACATTCAGTTTTATGCGTTTTAGGAAAATATTTTTTTTTACAAAATTGTCACATTTACTGCACTTGAAGCTTCGAAAAGTGTATTTAAGTCAGTCTACCTACATCTGCGTAAAATTAAGCTATGAATTCATTAACTATTGAATATTATAATAACATCAGACAACACGCGTACTATTAATATATTTCAGTTGATAAACACTTTATTTTTGGTTAAATAACGTTTAATTTTATGTTATTTTAAGCCAAATATCCATTAGTTATTAGTTTCTAGTTTCAATGGGCGATCTACTGAAAGTTTAATAACAAATAACAAAGACAGTTTAGATTGCTGGAATGAGAATTGTACAGGGTGTCGATATGATAACCTTCATCATCTTAATATTTTTAAGTCGATATTCCCTTATTTTAAAAGGTTAAAAGATAAAGACTTTTTTTATGTTCAGATAGCAACAGAAAATGTCTTCTGTTTATGATTTATTTTCCTGTAAATGTTTATAAACACCGCACAAAAATGATAATACATACAGTTAACAATAAGTAATACTTGAATGATCTAATACTTTTGAATTGTCAAAAATACGTAACAAAATACGTAAACACACATTTCATTGGTTGCTTCTACTAAAACGTCGGTGGGCGTATATCGCTGGTATTTTGAAAATAGGTTGCAAATTACGTTACAAACACTGCAGATAAAAAAAAATATAATATCTGTCGGTCTGTATCTTTATATACGCAGTATACAAATTTGTTTGTATCGAAAACTGAATATACTTAACCCTTATAAACTCAAAAAATTGTAAAATTGTAGGTAAATTAGCTTATAATAAGTACATAATCAAACACAAACGCCTACAGCACTACCCCGAATCAAATTCAAAACTATACACCGCAAATTCAAATAATACACAATAGATGGCACCGGCAATCAACTGCATACTCCACCGATGAAATCATTTTTGCGCTCTCGACAAGGATTACCTATTAAATGTTTGAATTAATGACCTTATGTTGATTATTTATGTGATTATTATTATAAATAATACCAGAAAAATGGTCTTTCTCTATGGCGTGGGCGCGTACGCCCTCATAACCTAACTCATCGACCACCACTGCTCTCTGTATTCTTCCTCATTCCAAAAAGTCACCCTATAATTGGCCCATACGACAAATACTAAAGTCGCAAATCTCATAATGACATCCGTAGGTATATCAAAGGCTAAATTTATTATCGTGCTTCAATTACGCTTTCCAAACACGTACGCCATATATACTTACGTATATGTAATAGCACACCGAAGTAAATAGAAAGACGAAAAGTTTTTACTTACAGTTAACATATCGCTTATCCTTCTTAGAAAATGCCTTCCTTTGAAGCCTCTTGGAATCCCCAACGTTTCGGAAATTTTCCGACATGTCCTGTAAGGAAAGTTGTGTTTCTTTTAGCTTGATTAAATATGTATCCTTCAATGCTGGCGGCATATTCCTAAGAAAATCATCCAAGTTGTACGGATTACTCTCATCGTTTACAGGCTTCTGAAATTAATGAAAAATTTTCGTAAGTTAAACTTTATTAGTATATTACGCATTGTAAAAATCCTAAGAGCTTATTTAAAGTCGTCTAAAAAGTTTACCAGTCAATTCTACGCAAGATTTTACGAAATATTTTCCTTTGTACTTTTTTAATCTGACGTCTAATTCTGCAGTTATTTCATGTTAAAAGTTGACCAATCGGGATGCACTTTGTTTGCTGCAAGTGGAGTGCGCCAATCGCTGCTGACGTGGTAGTGCAACTTGCAGCTGTCTGCAGCAAAAAGAGCGCACCCGGATTGGTCAATTACGCAATTTGCAATGTTAATATCTAAATAACTATGCGTCTAATCGAAAAACTGTAAAGGAAAAAGTTTCTTAGAATTTCCCGAACAATCGAATTATGTAGATATTTCTCGAAAACAATGAATACATATAAGCTCTCTAAAGCGCTTTTCATATCTTTATAATCTGCAATTGAAACAATCGTTCGACACAAATGTGATTAGGTCAATACGACAAAACTTCTCGAAACGAAAATGAAAATAGGTATGTAAAGAAGGTCTTCAAGATCCGTTACGTAACATCACCTAAACCAACAATTATCATTATCCTGTTACAAGGCGTAAATAAGCTTTGAAAAATGATTTCCATCATACACAAGCTTATTATTACGTGGAAGTAACACTTTCATTTGCTATCGCTTCTGATTCATGATTACCGCTCCATATGGCATAAATTTACAACTGTCTTTAATCAAACACGTGTCCGATGGAATTTTTGTTTTTCCGATATTTAAATTACAAATCATATCATTGTTATTTAAATGAGGCAGTTTTACCTTATTGGAGATCTTTTGTAGATTTTCATTAAAAATCTTTTCTTTAGCTAACACTGTAGGTATATATAATATCATTGTTTATATGAAATATTTTTTATAAAAACGACTGACTATATAATTCCCATTTTTATGTGAGACATTATTTGTTTCTTATTTAGATATTTTGAGAAATTCGCGATTATGTGTCAAAAGAGAAAATAAATGTAAATTATTTAAACGAAAATACTTCTATTTTGATGTAATTAATTGTTTCGTCTTGTCCTAGAAAAGAAGAAAAACACCGAACTTTTTGTTACATATGCCGGTTATATATATTAAGAAATTAACGCACTAATTATATTTTCCGTTAATTTTGTGTCATCTTCTCTACCAAATAAGATCAAAGCACAAATTCCTACACCTTTTTTTGTGATGAAAGTCTCAAAAGAATTCCGAAGGAAAATCTGTAAGGACACACATAAATAAATGTATCCATAAAGCGTTCCAGGTTCTTGGGTGGAACCCATACAACTTCTAAATACGTTTACGACATTGGTTTATTACATTCTTGATTAAATTCGACATTTTTTATATTACAGAAACAAAAAAAAAATAGATTTAAAAGCGAAATTATGATTTACTGCGTAGGTGAAAGATTATCGCTAATTAGCGAACAAAAGGATTTCTTTTTAATCAAATTTTTATTAAGCATGAAGTAACATCCAATGAAAATATAGAGTAGACGTACGGTTCAATCAATTAAAAGAGAAATCGTACCTATTTATTATAAAAGAATCTTTACTTGAATAAAATTCTAGGACATCTCTTTATCGACCCATATAAATAACTATTTTTAAATTAAATATGTCATACAATTTGAGGGTTCTATAATCCAATTAGAAATGATCCAGAATGCAACTTGTAAGATCCATGTCAGGGATTTAAATTGAATGAAATTCTCCGTTCGATAGATTATTTTACTTTTTCTTTCGGTTATTATTAGCTACTAAAGCAGAAAGATAACAATTTAGACTCTGTTTCTATTTTACGGTTTTTATTTAATAAGTCTATCTGACAGAGCAATTTTTGAAGTAAAAGAATGTCTTCAGTAAGAATTAGTTATTGTTATTATTAGATAACAGAATGGTATATTATTAATGGAAAAAACCACTATAATGAATTATTACGAATATCTTTATCGTATCTCCCATTCATTCATCCAATGAAAATCTATAATAGGGTTCACTAATTCGTAACAATGATAGACTACAATGTTGCAATTATTGTACACATATATGCACAGAGATAGCAGAAACATTTAGGTCTACTAATCTTTATGCTGTTAAAAAAAAGTCAGTCGTTTCTTCCTAATAGCATGGAATATTCTTAATTGTATTTATTGTTGTTATCATTAAAACAACAAAAAAATGCAATTTATATACGTATCATTATAATATACTTATATATATATATAATAAGTTCCTTCATTACAATGTATCAAGCGATTGATTTATTTTGTTTTGCATGACTTTATTATGAATCAATTGACAACTCATAAAAAATAAACGATATGTATAAAAATTATTATCCCGTATAGCTATGTACTTATATATATTGTTTGACTAAAATTGCGAATGAATCATGATCGTCATCATCATCGACTATCTTAAGAAAATCATCCTATGTCTCGAATCTCTTTATCTATTCTAGGTCTATTTCTTCCCTCTTTCTTTCCCGTTTGTGCTTTTAATATGTATTAAACTAACACTTCATATCTGAAAAGGTTCCCACAAGCTTGTCTGGACTAGTTTTTATTTTTAGCATCCCCTTATAAGTCCACACCATTCTATTTTCCGAAAAGATATAAACAAAAGATACTTGCATGTATTTATAATAGAAAAATATAAAAATAATTCGGAAAAAAACTATTATCAACAATTACTAAACATGTATTATTTATCAATTCTTTTAACCCAAAAACTTATTTGTTTGATAACTGTATCAATCAAATTACATAGTTCAAAGTGTATAATTTCCAAAAAAACGTTCGGTAGTTATTCTAATAATTGTGCAGACGACCTTTCGACGACACCAGGCGCGTTTAAATTTTATCAACTAAAAGTTAGACTAATTTTTTTTGCTAGTCTATTTGTTCATCTCTTATAATTTTCTTTTTATCACTAGTACGGTTTATTTTTGTTGACATAATTCCGCACGCGTTTTATTACCTTTAAATTAAATTTATGAATTGTACATACGTAGAAACAATAAGAAGGTCAATGAAATTATTTTCGGAAATCTATGCAATTCTCAAATGTGAAAATGTAATGATCTCTCATCAGTAAGCAAACAAATTATTTGGTTTATAATGAGTCAATGAAATATCTTCCTTTATTCCATCTTTATAAAATAATTCACCGAAATATACACGTTTTTGAAAATAAATATATAAAGATTAGGAATGTCTTACTTCGCACCAAGATCAAATAAAATTTTAAGGTAGGTGCACCGTAGTGATGTTGAATCGCCAGTGATTAATTGTAGTAATACAAAATATACACTATAATTAAACAAAAATTAATTTGACCAATCTTTATCACAACTTCATAATAACAGATAACAGATTTTTAAAGAACAAAATTGCAGCTGGAATATTTATATTTTATTTAATTGTGTACTCACCGATAAGGGAAAAACTGGGTCGTACAGACTGTTGTCATTCACATTACCGTAGTTTCTTGGCTGCAAGAACTGCTGGAGAGAAACCCTGAGGGGCTTTGTGTGATTTCCCGGCACCAAGAGTAAAAGAAACGCGGTAATCACTTTCATAATTGTACTTACTTAATAGTAATCGTACCGATTAATTAATTACTATTGTAAGATTATCTTAACGGCTGATTGATGCGAACAAATTTTTACAAACACTTCTCACTCTGACTTGTTCAAACGAAGAGAATACAGACTTGTGCGCGCCGCCTTTTTATTATTTTGCACATTAAAATTATTCCGTCACAAATATTATTTCATATCAATGAATATATATACATATATGTTTATTATGTGTGTGTATAAACTTAGAGTTCAAATACTACAACTTCTGCGTGTGTCAGTGAAAAGAAAATGTGAACCGTTCGCTCACTGCCCCTGAAATATATTGTTTATGTATGTAGCAAACCGACGCGAACCGTCCCTTTTCAAAATTTCCCGCTCGCTTCGTCGACTCCAAAGCTCGCGATCGCTTCACCCGATTGGCTGACAGGTAGTCGTTTTCCCTCAAATTACCACGACACATTTATACGATCGTCTCATTCCCCACCCTTAAACCAACAGGTACAAACACAAACTAACCAACCAAAAATACTACTCCACGCAATGTATGTTACGTTCCGATTCATAATATTAGAAAATAACATAAATTTGATTTTGCAGAACCAATATTTCTTAAAATCTATGTACAGATAGCTACATGTTTGTGGGTCAATGTGCTGTACAAAAAATTAAATAACAATAAACTTTTAAGCTAGATTTATCGTCTCGAGTAAGTATTTCTTTATTCAATTAGAATTCAATGAATGAAGTTAATTACAAGATTAGTAGAATCAAAACACATATAGATAGATGTTCCTGGAATCAGATTTGTTATTATCGTCCATATTTTACTTGAATCTATGAAACTATGAGAGGCTACTCATCTAACATCTCTCTCCTTATAGTTAAATGTTATCTGTGCAAAAATGAATAATTTTAAAATAATGATTGCACATACAGACACAAATATGGGTGAATCATCTATGATAACAAATAATGCGATACCAATAGTGTAAATACAAATACAATAATATAATTATTTTCCATACTATTACACCCTCATACCTAAACCCTTGTCTGATGAAGCAAATGTTTGCGAAGCGTATGCTTCTCGAAAACTATAGCAACAATAAACTTTTCGAGATCTACCTCAGCCCTTAACTCCTATTTCTGTTTCTACTATGTCTCTAACTACCCATTTTATATCTAAAAAATCTAAGCATGCTTATCTTTTCACCCTGTATGTTTATAGTTATCCCTGTTTTTAATAATATTAATCAATTCTTCGATACATAGTACATTGTCACCGCTGGGTAAGTTGCAAGTAATTGAAGAAGTTGTGAAAATCATAAAATTGCAATATTTCGTTGACATTATGGATTTTCAACCTGTAAGGGTTGAAACCTTTCAATTTATGCACACGTACAAAATATTTATACTTATGTAACTATATCTTGTACGATTGGTTAATTATCAGAAGCACATTTTCAATAGAAATGAGAAAACGTGCGCCGTTTTGTGAATGAATTTATTGAAAATCGACATTTTCAATTAACCTACACAGTAAGGTGTAAATCACACATCAAACTCGCCTTATTCATAATAAATAATAATTATTATTACCTATTTACTACCACCCGAGTGTGGAAATCAATGGAAAACAATAATACATTAGTAACATCAACTGAAAATACGAACCCAAAGCCATCTTTGAAAGTATACAGCACGTAGTTATAAATAATTAATTTACAATTTTTTTTACATAATGAATAGTTAGAACAACAGTAAACAAGCCGGATCCTTGATAGTCCTTACAATCAATGTTAAACACTAATTTGTCTCAATTTTGATGGTTAATGATTAGTTTTAGAAAATACTACAAATGGCGCAGTGAACGCCATCTGTAGCACGATGCTACATTTTAGGATTACGTATGCTCGTAAGATTAGTTTGATGATAAACACAATACGCTCTTTTTTCAATGTAATACAAAATATTAGAATTTATTTTAAACTAATGGGATATGCTATAAAGGACCTTTGTTCCTATTTTTTTTCTAACTGTTACATCTTTACGAAATTGTCCTCTATATTAAGTTATTTACGAAAGTAATTGTTACCTACGTTATTTTGTTTATTTGAGTTCTCTTGCCGACCTTATTCTTTAATTAGATCCAAATAAAATCTCCTAAATATGCTGGAACATTATCCCGTGTTATTTTTAAGATTCTACTCTCAATCTTCATTTAAGATAAATTCGTTGTCAACGCGAATTTATTTTAAAAAAGACTTAAATATTTAGTACTGCTAAGTGTAGTATTTCATATATGTCGAAAGGATCTTCAAAATACTTAAATATATTAAAAGCTGCAGTTAGCGGTAAATTTTCATAGATGGCGTTATACTACCAATAGCTCGATTAATAAATCGAGTATAGCATGAAGCAATAGTTAGTTATCGAAACCGCTTGTAACTTCTAAATTAGGATAAACTGTTGTTCATAAACCTATTTTTCTAGGACATGTTGCAGTGTTTCCTCCTCCTGGTTCTAATTTTATATATTTTAATATTCGTTTTTCCCAAATCCCGTTTGACAAAATTAGAACATGTTACATACCTCCCTCGCGCCAAAAAGAGTCGGCGTAATTAAAATTACAAATTTTGTTAAGATGACAGTTTATATGTATATTTCTAATTTAACGTGGGTGTAGCTACGTGCTGATGGTGGCATCCGAGATTTCGGGAAGACATTAAGAGTCGCAATTAAAAAGGGAAGTAACACGTCCCTCGGGCTATTTTCACTTAAAACTTTTCCGACTATGTTTGCTCTTGGCATAATAATTACGATTTGTAAAGTTAATAACTTTCTGATGGAATTTTATAGTACAGCGCAACCACGTCTTGTTTGCCGTGTACATATTAGAAAAGGAGAGAACAAAAAAAAAAGATGGCGCGTGTACCTGTCAAAGGATAAACGTCCGCTAACATATTTATTTAACTGATATAAAGCAGAGGATTGTGCAAATTCGAGTCGCCTTCAATAAAAGGAAGTCACTTTTGTGCTGGCGAACGATTAATTTATAAATTCGAAAAAGATTGTTAAAGGTGTATGTTTGGAGCGCGACGTTGTACGGGTGCGAAACATGGACAGTGAGCGCGGCGGAAATGAAAAGGTTAGAAGCGTTCGAAATGTGGTGTTAGTCAAAGACGTATTAGGGGCAGAAACAGGAGTCAAGAGGAATAAAGGTAGACTTAGGTGGAGGTGATTGTCCAACCAGTCTTAAGACTGACGACCTTATAATGATGATGATTTAATACATGTAATAAATGCCTAAGTGAAGAGAGACATAAGCAGCAAATTAGCAGGACTACACTTGATTTGAAGTACTCATATTGTTCAACACATTTCTTAGGACATATTCTGAGGGATATTTAAGGGAATACTGTCACTAAGTGAAGCTTTTTTTTCCTTTTTTTTTTTGGAATTCTTCGCCTATTTTAGAATGAACGAGCCGCCTTTGCCATTTTAACAAGTCCTATTAGTGTTAATTAATGTCTTAATATTGTACATTTGACATTTCATTTCTGTGTTAATAATAAAATAATCCCACGCACTTAAACTAACTTAAGAAACTTTGTTAATCGAATAGACTAAAACAAACAATTTCATCGAATTTATAGATAGGAACTTCTACTCTTTTCTATGCTTGTTCGTATTGTTGTTTTTCTTGTTAATTAAGGAAACCGTTAAGTTAAAAAGTACACATTCCCTGCCTGGATTTAAGTCTTTCTTAGACAGTATATATATATATTGAAAACGAAGGCGGATAATCAGTTACCTGGATGCATAGGTCGTCAGAATTAAGTTAGAAATTTTTACAGAAGTTTTTGTTAATTGTCCAATCATTTGACGAAACGGTACAAAAAAGGTTCAACTACGTGGTTTAAGACATTTTATTTGTTCTTCCAATTCCGAAAGCATTATTAAATTAGGTGACATTTGAGCAGAATCAACACGTCAAAAGATTGGTGATTTTTAATCTAAAATAATTATTTTGTCTTGTAAATCTACCAGCACCATACATTTGTATATAGTGATAATGAATTGTAGAATATGATAATATAACAATTTCCTTAAAATATTGCGTAATTGTTTTCGTATTAAATCATATTAAAACATCATCACGAATTGGATTACATAATAATAAGAGTACTTAATGAAAGTTCACTGTTGGCCTTTAATAAAGGGGAAACCCCAATTTGTGTTTAGTCATTAGTGATGTCTAGGCCGTTTATGATTGCTTGGTTTACTTCTATTATAAAATTTCCTAAAGATCAAATCGCTTGCCTCCAACTTACGTATGTAATAACTTTACATTGTTGCAATCAAAGGAATATAAAAAAACTTATTAAGTGCATACGCAAAATAAGGGCAAGAGACTTGATCTCTAGGAAATTTTAGAAATAAATCAAGCAATCGTAACTGATGAGTAATAGAATAATCACCAATCAGAGTTTGGAGTTTCCCCTTAATTGAAAGCTATATAACAGATAACATTATAAACTTATTGGAGTCATTTCTGGTTGTACAACAAAGTGAAACTAATCAAGTGTTTTATTTATTATTGGATTGAACTAATCACATAATAATGCATAGTGAAAATAAGAACACGCTCATATAGTATTAAAAAACATTCGTACCTTTCCTAATTTTATAAGATTAAAGTTCTGGTATATGTATAGGGTTGTTCGGAAAGTCATTTCGTTTTTTCCCGACAGAGGATTTAATTGTATTATTTTGCACCCAACTTCACATTTAAGCCGTATAATTTTTATATGCTTTGAGAGCTCATATAGCAAGGCTTGTGTGTGAAAAATTCCAATTAATTCTACGCAGTAGTTTTTGGTTGGTGCCCTTTTAAATATGGAGAGCGATAAGCAGCATTTTCGACATATCTTACTGTTTTACTACAGAAAGGGTAAAAATGCTGTTCAAGCCAGAAAGAAATTGACTGATGTGTATGGAGAAGGTGTGTTGACAGTACGCCAGTGCCAGAACTGGTTCGCTAAATTTCGATCCGGCAATTTTGATGTCGAAGATGCACCACGTTCGGGAAGGCCGGTTGAAGCTGATAAAGACGCGATAAAGGCATTAGTTGATGTGAACCGGCGAATAACAACACGTGAGATCGGATTGAGGTTAAATTTATCAAATTCAACAGTTTATGACCACTTGAAAGGCCTGGGATTATCCTCGAAGCTCGATGTATGGGTTCCCCATGTTCTCACAGAGAGAAATCTGTGTCGCCGCATTGACGTCTGCGATTCGCTTCTCAAACGTCACGAAAATGATCCGTTTTTGAAGCGCATCATCACTGGGGACGAAAAATGGGTTGTATACAACAACGTCAAACGCAAGAGGTCATGGAGCAAAAAAGATGAACCGGCTCAAACCATTTCCAAAGCCGATATTCACCAAAAAAAGGTGATGCTGTCTGTTTGGTGGGATTTTAAAGGAATCGTTTTTTTTGAGCTTTTACCGGATAACACAACGATTAATTCGGAAGTCTACTGTCATCAGCTGGACAAACTGAATGATGCACTTCAACAGAAAAGGTCAGAACTAATCAACAGGAAAGGTGTAGTGTTTCACCAAGACAACGCGAGACCTCACACAAGTTTGGTCACTCGCCAAAAGCTTTTACAGCTTGAATGGGATACAATGCTACACCCACCATATTCTCCAGACCTGGCACCATCGGATTATTATTTGTTCCGGTCACTCCAAAATTTTTTAGACGGTAAAACCTTCACCTCAAATGAGGAGGTCAAAAACCTCCTCGATCAGTTTTTTGCCAGCAAAGACCAAAAATTTTATGAGCGTGGAATTATGCTACTACCAGAAAGATGGCAAAAGGTGTTGGACCAGAACGGTCAATATATAATTTAATAAAGTATTTGTTTATTATACGAAAACTGTCTTTCATTTCCACAAAAAAAAACGAAATGACTTTCCGAACAACCCTATATGTATGTATATATATAGTATGAAAAAACATTCATACCTTTCCTAATTTTTATAACATTAAAGTTCTGGTATATGTAGTACCACATGTCAAAATATAAACCGCTTCCTCGGATACTAGTTAAGTCTACTAGACTTTATTCCATGGGCTTTTGAGGTCACCAAAGCATAGCGCCCTCGGACAAAGGCATACATGCGCAGTTGGCAGTTGATGGCAAACGTTCAAACTCAATAAAATTACAATGGCAAGTATCTTCTTTTTTGTTTGTTAATGACAATCTGTTTCCTATCAATTAAGTGTGAATGTATTTTCTGCTTACAATGTCACTGATCTTCTTAGAATTCAATAAAAACGCGTAAGAAAGTTCGAAAAATGAAAAGCATAACTAGAGAACTTAAGACCCAATAGGTGTAAAGCATTAAGCTTTCAATTCGTCGCTGCTTCTTTATTATCCCTTCGAATAAGAATTACTGATGAAGCAGTTGATAGCAAGCAGTTAATCAAAATGTTCAATAGTGAAACAACTTTATGCCAAAACAATGAGAGGTTTATCTTTATTAATAAGAAAAAAGAAGACCTTTGAAGCAAATAGCTCGCTCGTTGAGTTGTTGATGATGTCGTCCACAAAACATTAAAGTTGAAAATGTTGAAAAATGGAATTTAATTTTTACGTTTTATATCGTCGCGTTTCTACATTGATGTCTTAAAAAAGGCATTTTGGCATTAAACCTTATCAACTGATTTCAGTTTGTTTAGACGTAGGGTGGAATATTCCATAGATATTCCCAGAAAGTAGATTAATTTTAAACACTTTTCCAATAATTACTGCTATTAAGTTTACCGCGTTTAATCCAGTAATAAATAATGTACCTGAGTAGGAAGAAAATTATTTTATACTTTATTACTTGTACTAAAAATATGATAGATAACGTTGCCTAAAAGAATGACGTACCTAAACATAAAAATGGAACTTATTAATGAGAGACGTACGGATGGTATTAATTGTTAAAGAGATTGAAAATTTTCTAACAACAATGTTACTTTTTAAAGTTATAGAAACATTGATACATCCCGATTTTCCGATACATTTATGCAGAGATGTAGTCACAGGGAGTTTAGGGGTTCAAACAACAAGCAAAAGTTGATTGATTGTTGTAAACTCATTAAAATTAGCAAACCTAACATGATAGCAACCTAAATCACATCTCAATTACAAATTTTATTGTCTACGATTTACTACATATGCCATTGACTATTCTCGATACATGTTTCAGAAGAATTTTGCATTAAAATAGAAAACTCATAGTTAGTTTTGATTAAGAATAACGTATACTATGTGATCTACAAGTTGATGCCGTTCAAAATGAACTCCCATACGCTAATTGTTTCAAATTATTTTGCGTTTTAGTTTTCACATAATAAAAAAAAATAATGTCATCGAAAGAAGTTCGTGAGTACTTTTTCATTTTTGATTAATAAGTGCACAATTACAACACATTATCATTGTAAACAGCGAAGAATTAAGTGCATCTTTCTACAATTTTATCAAGCGAATGGATGACCTTACACGCTTGGTAAATATTTTATTATTTTCAAAACAGTCCAAATTTCCTACATCTATTAAGATTGCCTCCATTTGTCGATAAATATTCGAGAAACTTGAACTTAAATTCAGCTCAGTATAAACAATTATTTTTATTTAACGCTTTCATTTTCCATTAGAATACTCGTAAGATAAAGGCTTAAAACTAAACTAAAGTTACCATTTGTGAAATAGTTTACAGTGCAGTAAAGTTCTTATGTAGAGTCTAAACCGAATGCTATTATAGCATCAACCGAGTCCTGTAAGAGCCTGAACCGAGTCCGTTAGGAGTTGTAACCGAGTGCATTAGGAGTCTAAACCGAGTCCCCACCATTAATTTACGCTTACGTCAAAACTTTAACTACAAAATTCATTTATTAACGCAACATAATAATTCGAACATATAATATACTTTTGTTTGTCATAATTATTATNGTTCACAAGAGTAAAAGTAAACTTACTTCCCAGTTGTTTAGCCATAAATATATGAATTTATCGTTTTAATTAAAAGGTATCTAGTAGATATTATATTTGCATATGAACTTTATCTTCTTAATCTGTTTACATTACACTTGATTTTCTTAATGCTTTATTTATGACTATTTCTCTCTAATATTAATATGAAAAGTTTGGTTTCTATTCTATACAGTCAAATATTTATTTTATTTAAAAAATGAATTGCTCGTTATTTTTAAGCCAGGTAATAAAAAGTTTCAAGGTGCTTGTTGAAATGAACTTAATAAAATTAAAAAAACTTTTAGGTGCAAATTTTAATGCACGCTCAACAAATAAAACTAAATGAAGCAGATCCAAATGATGATAAAAATATGTACAACTGGCTAAGAAATAAAAAATACGATTTAACTTGGATTTCTTTGAGGCACGAATTTCTAATAAGACAAGCCCTTACAAAGGTATGATGCACTTTTGTTGTTACTTTCGTACCTTCAATATGTTTAGATTTTCTAATATTTTTTGCGCTTTTTGTAGATATCCTCAGATCAACAGACTGCAGTTATTAAAGAACTAGTAAATTACACTGAAAGTAATGAGAATTTAGATCCATCAAGGATTCCAGAAATATGCTTAGACATATTAAACAAGACCATCACTTCTGAGATAGTGCAAACAGAAAGCTTAAGACGTGCCAGCACATTCAGAAGAAGTATCCGGATGTCTATAAGATCCAATAGAGTCTCTCCAAGTACTTTAATGATGCGTACTGATCAAAACAACGAGAAGAAATCGGTAACATTTTGTGAAAATCCTAAAATTTATTCTATATACAACTAAAAAGGGGGAAAACGTTCACACCAATCTAAAATCTCTAATTTTCTTTGTAGTTACTTAATTAGAGTTGTAAAATTTACTGTATATTGGGTTGTCTATATGTCACATTACAAATTGTAGTTTAATAAAAAAAAGGAATAGCAATTAACATCCCTAGCTGAGTCTAAATGGTAAAATATGATTTAAAGATAAAAGTTCATCAATCTACGTAAATAAAGACAGATATATAGGTCAATCATAGTCATTGTTTTAAATTGTACCGGCGCCTCCACCAAAATTTTCAATGACATTTTTTAATAATTGCTAATAATTATTAATATATATCATTACTAATGTCTTATTTTCGACATTTAATGGATAATTTACATGATTAATCGTCCACAAGTCCACAAAGCTCATACATTCAAAAATTACTTTGTAATATAAAACTTTCTTCTCTTTCTGGTTCATTCAACTTTCCATTAAAAACTGATTATTTACGCATTCAACACGTGACACATCATACAGCATACAGGTACCTAAATGTCTGTTGTATTTTAATTCGAAATTGTAAAATACTCAAAGTTAAAAAATCTGATTGATGAATAAAACTGCATCAGTTGAAGTCTTGTTGCATATGTAATTGGATGCGATGAATTACAGCGAATGCTAGCGTATAAATTTGAATTGAAAGTAAAATTAGGTTACTGAAGGATAATTAGGACTATATATCATAAGTCGGTGTGTAAGTTTTCAAAATTTAAGGCGTAATAATAAATCTTTGGGTAACTTCTTGGGACATGATTAAACTTAAATGTAAACAAACAAATTTTCATTATTTCCGAAAGGGTGGAGATGCCGGGAAATTCAATAAATATTTTCACAAAAATACTTCTAATTTAATAGAGATAGCGAGTATATTATTTATGTTATACTAGCGACCCGCCCCAGCTTCGCACGGGTACAATGCTAATACTAAATATGTATAGTTTTGTTTTGTTTAGATTATTATCGAGAAGGGGAAATCTTCAAAAGATAAGATAAGTCTGTAATATCTTCGAAAATATTCATTTAAAGTACATGCTGTAAAGGGCCATATTGATCTAGATTAAATGCACAATGTATTTAAAAGTACTTAATTGGATAAGGATTAATGCTGTATTGCTTAAAATCGCTTCGTAAATAAGCCATTATTTCTCGTAAAAAGTAAAGGATAAAAAATGGTTATTGTGGGTTATCCCTAAGAGATAGA